CCCGGCAGGTGCCCGGGCTCGGCCCCGCCGCTCCAGGACGGCAGGAGACACTTGCCCTGGCCGCAGGCCCCTCCCTGACTGCACCTGACAGAGCCAGGCTGCCCAGGGTTGAAGGAGGAAGTGCAGGCCCTAACGACCCAGCAGCCCCCGGAATGTTTTGGGGGTTTTGGCTTTCCGGGGGTAATTCTATTTGCCTGCAGGGAACAATGGAAGGAGTCAGAGCAGCTTCCCAAGCTCAGTTTGGAACACAAATAGCTGGTTTGTGCAATTAGCCCGCGTGCAATCACATGGAGCTCCACCAAGTGGCTTCCGCGTGAACCAGATTGGCACCACCTAATTCTTATCATCATAAATAGATCGAGTTGTTAAGTAACAAGCCGTTACAGGGAGCACGTGGCGCTCTCCCCGGCGACGCCGACTACCCACGTTTAATCTGGCTTCTGAGCAGGAAGGAGCCGGCACCACGAACGCGAGGGGTAAACGAACGGCTTTGAGCCGAGCTCATCCAGGATGCGGCAACAGAAACACAAACGGAGGTCACGAAGCTCGGGGCACACCAGCGATGGCGCCGAAGGAGTCCCCTTTGAGAGGCTGGCCCGGAGCCGCCAAGCTCAAGGTCACCAGGGACAGTGCGGAGACAGCAATGACTGGAGGGGGCAGGGCACGGTTCCCTGGCGTCCCTCACACCTGTGCCAGTGCTCACCCGCGACAAACCCAGGGCCCCTCCTCAGCTAGCCCTGGCCCTCAGCGCCCCCAAGCTGACCCTGCAAGGAGGAGGGGCAGCAGCAGGTGTCCACGAGGAGACATACAAAGCCGGCTAAGGCAGCAGAAAAAGCTGAAAAAGCATTTGAGTTTGTATTTGGGAAATATTCCAAAAGATATAGCAAACATAAAATAGCTCACTAGGCTAATCCTCTGCCTGCGGCACTGGCACACCGGGTTCTAGTCCCGGTCGGGGCGCCGGATTCTGTCCTGGTTGCTCCTCTTCCAGGCCAGCTCTCCTCTGTGGCCTGGGAGTGCAGTGGAGGATGGCCCAAGTACTTGGGCCCTGCACCTGCATGGGAGACCAGGAGAAGCACCTGGATCCTGGCTCCAGATCAGCGCAGTGCGCCGGCCGCAGCAGCCATTGGGGGGTGAACCAACCGTAAAGGAAGACCTTTCCCTCTGTCTCTCTCTCTCTCACTGTCCACTCTGCCTGTTAAAAAAAAAAAAAAGTAGGATGCTGTGGCCGAGGAACACTCAGAATGAGAAAGACATTTTGGGACTGAAACAAACCATTTTAATAACTCGTGGAGCTATAACACAAGATGGAAAAGATGAGAGAGAAGGCAGGAACGGTCAGGGCTGGGGATCACAGTTTGGCTCAAAGGAAGGGTCTGACTGATCAAGCAAATTCCCAGGGCAAGCCTGCGTGGCGGCCGCTGAGAGGTCACCACGGTGTGGACGACTCTGGTTTTAATGGACGGCGGCAGCATCATGGTCAAGGGAAGATGTCAGAATAGGTCTGATCTGATTTCATCATCATTTAAAAAAAAATCATCTATTATTTTTCACTTTATGTTTCTGTGTGGGAGCAAACTGTTGAAATCCTTACTTAAGGTATACTAAGCTGATCTTCTGTATATTAAGATAATCGAAAATGAATCTTGATGTGAATGGAAGGGGAGAGGGAGTGGGAAAGGGGAGGGTTGTGGGTGGGAGGGACGGTATGGGGGGGGAAGCCATTGTAACACATGAGTCGTACTTTGGAAATTTATATTCATTAAATAAAAGATAAAAAAATAAATAAATAAAAAATAAATAAATAAATAAATATTTAGGAAAAAAAAAAAAAAGGGAAGATGTCAGGAGCTTCCACAGAGAAAGGCAGATCTCCTGCAAAGGAACAGGAACCAAACCGACCTGGACTGTTCGCCAGTAATTCCAGCTCCTAACAGGCTCTGTGCCGCCCAGCGCGCCCTCGGCTGTGCCCGCATCCAGAGGCACCTCTGCTTAGGCGGCTCCTCGAAGATGAGCCAGCCCAGGAATCCAGGAACCCGGGGTTGCCTGTGGCAGTGCCCCCAGGGCCAGAGCAGCATGCAGCCCGCTGATGGCACGGATGCCCAGGAGGGAGGGACGGAGGCGGGCTCAGGGAGAGGGAATGCTCCAGAGAAAGCACACGCCCCTCCTGCTCGTGGAGTCTCCGGGAAAAGTGTGCTCTGCTTCAACGTGCGGGTGCCGGAGCGGCTGCACGGCCACCAGCCACCGGCCCGCTCTGCCATCCGACCCCGCAGCCCTGCACTGTGCGTGTTCTCGGTGTCACAAAACACACCGTGTCTACCCCACAGAGGACAGTCAGACACCCTTCGTCCTGTTTGATTTTTTTTTTTAAGATTTATTTCTTTATTTGAAAGTCAGAGTTACACAGAGAGAGAGGAGAGGCAGAGAGAGAGAGAGGTATAGGGAGAGATCTTCCATCCCATGGTTCACTCCCCAGATGGCCACAACGGCCGGGGCTGTGCCAATCCGAAGTCAGGAGCCAGGAGCTTCTTCTGGTCTCCCATGCAGATGCAGGGGCCCAAGGACTTGGGCCATCTTCTACTGCTTTCCCAGGCCACAGCAGAGAGCTGGATCAGAAGTGGAGCAGCCGGGACTTGAACCAGCGCCCATGTGGGATGTCAGCACTGCAGGCAGCGGCTTTACCCGCTACGCCACAGCACGGGCCCCCATCATCCCATTTAATTACCTGCCTGCTCCTGTGGCAAGAGCAGCTGTGACCTCCTCCCCCGGCGACAATCTTAGGTGGGACACGGCTAGGATGTCCCCCTGTGGCACCTGTGGCACCCAGGAGCTTGTCACCCCCACACGTTTGCCACGGTGGGTCCTCTGAACCCCGCCACCCCAGTTCCCACCCTGGCAGCGGTGACCACGGTTTCCATGTGCTTGCCACTGGCTTTGTTCGCCTCCGCCCGGTCTCCCCGCCTGGTGGGCAGGCTCCTGCACTGGGCAGGTGTGTGTCTCTCTCCTGGTGCTGCCCCCTCTCCCTCCTACGAGCACCTGCCCTGGGCCACGGCCGCGGCCCATGGCTCCAGGGCAATGTGGTTTCCCAGCTGGCAGGCGGCAGCTTCCGGGAGCCTGACTCAGACCTTCCTCGCCCAGAGCACATTGCGAGGGAAGCCCAGCACTGGCCAGCCCTGTGCCCGCCCTGCCTGGAGCCCTGGGCCCCACCGCCTCTGCACCGCGTCCTGTTCTTGTCAACAGAGACGCCTGCGTCATGTGTCTGAGGCCGGCTTCGTCTTACCCTGCCTCTCATCACGGAACAGAGGGTTTAAAGCCTGAATTTGCTTTGCCGTGTTGATTGGCCAGCAGTTGTGTTTTGATGTTTAGGTGCCATAATCGGTTAAAAAAATGCCCAGAGGGCTCCACGCAGTTACAGAAGAGACTGTGATGTTACCAGCGGGAGGAAAACACAGCCGAGTGCACCGAGAGAGGAGGGGAGGAGACTAGGGCACCGCGAGGAGCCAGGCCCCACGGCTGGCAGGCAAACGAGGGCCTGAGGCCAGTGGGTCAAGAAAAGAGAACTGACACGGCCCACACTGCCGTCACCATGGATACAGAGAGAGGACTGACATGGCCCACACTGCCGTCACCATGGATACAGAGAACTGGCACGGCCCACACTGCAGTTACCATGGATACAGACAGGGAATTGACATGGCCCACACTGCAGTTACCATGGATACAGAGAACTGACATGGCCCACACTGCTGTCACCATGGATACAGACGGGGACTGACGCAACCTGCACTGCACTGCTACCATGGACAGACAGGGAGCTGACCACAGCCCAGCTCAGGTCCAGTCTTTGGCTCCTGGCCATGGAGGAAGCCACCGCCCTCCACATGGCCATGAAAACCGCAATACCCAGCTCACAGCCACACCCTCAATCATGAGTCCACACCCCGGCTGACTGCCTGGGCCTCCCAGGTCCCGGAGCTGCAGGCAGCCCCAGCAGGATGGGCTGGGGGCTCTCCAGAGGAGGGGCGTTGGGGGCTGCATTCTGCCCTGCGCTGGTTCTGGTTCTGCATCTGAGCCCTGTGCTGGTTCTGGTTCTGCATCTGTGTCCCGTGCTGGTTCTGGTTCTGCATCTGAGCCCTGTGCTGGTTCTGGTTCTGCATCTGTGCCCTGAGCTGGTTCTGGTTCTGCATCTGTGTCCCGTGCTGGTTCTGGTTCTACATCTGTGCCCTGAGCTGGTTCTGGTTCTGCATCTGTGTCCTGTGCTGGTTCTGGTTCTGCATCTGAGCCCTGTGCTGGTTCTGGTTCTGCATCTGTGCCCTGAGCTGGTTCTGGTTCTGCATCTGTGTCCCGTGCTGGTTCTGGTTCTACATCTGTGCCCTGAGCTGGTTCTGGTTCTGCATCTGTGTCCTGTGCTGGTTCTGGTTCTGCATCTGTGCCCTGAGCTGGTTCTGCATCTGTGCCCTGAGCTGGTTCTGATTCTGCATCTGAGCCCTGAGCTGGTTCTGGTTCTGCATCTGTGTCCTGAGCTGGTTCTGGTTCTGCATCTGTGCCCTGAGCTGGTTCTGGTTCTGCATCTGAGCCCTGTGCTGGTTTTGGTTCTGCATCTGTGCCCTGAGCTGGTTCTGGTTCTGCATCTGTGTCCTGAGCTGGTTCTGGTTCTGCATCTGTGCCCTGAGCTGGTTCTGATTCTGCATCTGAGCCCTGTGCTGGTTCTGGTTCTGCATCTGTGCCCTGAGCTGGTTCTGGTTCTGCATCTGTGTCCTGAGCTGGTTCTGGTTCTGCATCTGAGCCCTGTGCTGGTTCTGGTTCTGCATCTGTGCCCTGAGCTGGTTCTGGTTCTGCATCTGTGCCCTGAGCTGGTTCTGGTTCTGCATCTGAGCCCTGTGCTGGTTCTGGTTCTGCATCTGAGCCCTGTGCTGGTTCTGGTTCTGCATCTGTGCCCTGAGCTGGTTCTGGTTCTGCATCTGTGCCCTGAGCTGGTTCTGGTTCTGCATCTGTGCCCTGAGCTGGTTCTGGTTCTGCATCTATGCCCTGAGCTGGTTCTGGTTCTGCATCTGAGCCCTGAGCTGGTTCTGGTTCTGCATCTGTGTCCCGTGCTGGTTCTGGTTCTGCATCTGTGCCCTGAGCTGGTTCTGGTTCTGCATCTGTGTCCTGTGCTGGTTCTGGTTCTGCATCTGTGCCCTGAGCTGGTTCTGCATCTGTGCCCTGAGCTGGTTCTGGTTCTGCATCTGAGCCCTGAGCTGGTTCTGGTTCTGCATCTGTGTCCTGAGCTGGTTCTGCATCTGAGCCCTGTGCTGGTTCTGGTTCTGCATCTGTGCCCTGAGCTGGTTCTGGTTCTGCATCTGTGCCCTGAGCTGGTTCTGCATCTGTGTCCTGTGCTGGTTCTGGTTCTGCATCTGTGCCCTGAGCTGGTTCTGGTTCTGGTTCTGCATCTGTGTCCTGTGCTGATTCTGGTTCTGCATCTGTGTCCCATGCTGGTTCTGGTTCTGCATCTGTGTCCTGTGCTGGTTCTGGTTCTGCATCTGTGCCCTGAGCTGGTTCTGGTTCTGCATCTGTGTCCTGAGCTGGTTCTGGTTCTGCATCTGAGCCCTGAGCTGGTTCTGGTTCTGCATCTGTGTCCTGAGCTGGTTCTGCATTCTGAGCCCTGAGTTGGTTCTGGTTCTGGTTCTGCATCTGTGCCCTGAGCTGGTTCTGGTTCTGCATCTGTGTCCTGAGCTGGTTCTGGTTCTGCATCTGAGCCCTGAGCTGGTTCTGGTTCTGCATCTGAGCCCTGAGCTGGTTCTGCATTCTGAGCCCTGAGCTGGTTCTGGTTCTGGTTCTGCATCTGAGCCCTGAGCTGGTTCTGCTGCTCTGACCCTTCCTGTCCATTTTCCTCGTGAGCAGGATTTCAGGTCACAGTCCCCCCGGGCAGCTGTGGACACTTGTTGCTGGTGCCACGTGGTTCTGGGGCACCCTGATGCCCTGGATGCCGGGGGCAGCCCTCCTAGGGGCAGTACAGTCCAGGGCAGGAAGGATCCTGCTGTGTCCCTCACCCCAGCCATCGTACATCGGAGCCACAAAATGCCCGGTCACCTCCGAGGGCACCGCCGACTGTGCCTCCCTCCACAGGCCTGCAGCCTCCCTGCCCGCTCACCTGGACCACAAGCCATGCGCCATTTCCAAGATTGCACCCAGGCGTATTCCCTCTGCTCACCAAAGGGGCGTGACTCTCACCCAGATCATCTGGGAGCAGAGCAGGTGCGGGGTTCTCCCCCCTCCTCTCCGACCCCACGAGGCGGCCTCCTCCTGGGGCCGCTTGTTCCAGGTGCACGGGGACACCTGCTGCGATCTTGCTCCCACTGGCTCCCTCCCCTGCACCCTCCTGGGTTAGGAGCCTGGCTCAGAGGTCTCCACCAAGTCAGGAAATCAGCGTGGCGCAGCGTGGAGCTGGCCCTGCAGGGGTGGCCAGGGCCCGTGGCTCCCTCCACCTCTCAGACACTCTCCATCCCCACCAACCTGGCGCAGGCCTTGGTTTATCGGAGCCGGCTTCCTTTGATGCGGGGAGCTGCCTTTTGTGCCTTTGAATTTCTCCAGCCAGCTCCTCTTACCACAGTGAAGACTGCGATGCGTCTGAAGCTTCAAAAGGCAAATTTTGTGCCAATACCTTCTCCCCCGATTCCTGCGAGGAGCAGGGCGGACTCGCTGAGAAGCCGCTGGGGGAGAAGCGGAGCTGGGGGCACCTGCGGGTCTCCTCCCTGTTCTGTCTGCACCCCCGTGCAGACGCGACAGCCTCCGTCCTCCATTTCTGTGCTGAGGTTTTCATTATTCGGAATTACAACACAGAAATGTGGATGTTTATTTTGAATGAGATGCAATTTCTTCTCCCAGAATTCATTTAGAATGTTCCATTATGCATCTTAAATTGGAATTGGAAAAGTAATTTCTATGCCAGCAACCAGCCTGTGGAAGCACCCAGACGGGCAACCAGCAGAAAGAGACACGGCAGCCCGCAGTCAGGCGGGAAAGCGAGCGGGGACGGTATTCTCTCCTCAGCAGGCGCTGTATGTAAATTTTTCAAAAATAAAAGGACTCTTGTGACAAACCTTGAACTATTCAGGGAATACAAGCTTGAAGGAAGATGAGTTACCGCTAATCCCACACCCGCCCAGGCTTGCTGCTATGGAATAAACATGGACGAGGGGGCTTCAAAAAGTCGGCGGGACAAGGAGTCAGGAGGGAAGCTTAGGGACAGCATCCGGCCCCCTGTGAGGACGCTGCCCCCACCCAGGCGCAGAGCCAGACACCAGGCTCCGGCGCCTGATCCCAGCCTCCTGCCAACGCAGGCGCGGGCAGGCAGCGGTGATGCCCCGGGAGAGAGCGCCTGCTGCCCCAGCGGGAGACCCGGGTGGAGCTCCCGCCTCTTGGCCTTGGTCTGGCCAGGCCTGGCCATGCAGGCATTTGGCGTTTGGGTATTGAACCAGTGGGTGTGAGCTGCCTCCCTCTCTCTCCCTCCCTCCCTCTCTCTCTCCCTCTCTCTCTCCCTCCCCCCTTCTCTCCCTCCCTCCCTCCCTCTCTCTCCCTCCCTCCCTCTCTCTCTCTCTCCCTCCCTCTCTCTCTCTCTCCCTCCCTCTCCCTCTCTCTCTCTCCCTCCCTCCCTCTCTCCCTCTCCCCCTCCCTCTCTCTCTCTCTCCCTCCCTCTCCCTCTCTCTCTCTCCCCCTCCCTCTCTCTCTCTCTCCCTCCCTCTCCCTCTCTCTCTCTCCCTCCCTCCCTCTCTCCCTCTCTCCCTCCCTCTCTCTCTCTCTCCCTCCCTCTCCCTCTCTCTCTCTCCCTCCCTCCCTCTCTCCCTCCCTCCCTCCCTCTCTCCCTCCCTCCCTCCCTCTCTCTCTCCCTCTCCCTCTCCCTCTCTCTCTCTCCCTCCCTCCCTCTCTCCCTCCCTCTCTCTCCCTCCCTCCCTCTCTCTCCCTCCCTCCCTCTCTCTCTCCCTCTCTCCCTCTCTCTCTCCCTCTCTCTCTCCTCCTCTCTCCCTCTCTCTCTCTCCCTCCCTCTCTCTCTCTAGTGTGTGTGTCTGCCTCTCAAGTATGTATATGTCTTGTATGAATCTCTGTGTGTGTCTAAAATCATATGGGAGGGTAGCTCAAGAGGTTTGTGAAGATGGAATTAAAAGAAAGATAAGTTTATTTTTGATGCAAAAAAAGAGAGCTTATTTTGGGGCAAAGATTTTGAAAGCTATGCATATGAGGACTCTTCAAAACGTTTCTGAAAATGCATATTATGAAAAATTATGTATGAATTTCAAACTTTTTTGCACCAAAATCAACTTTTTTTAAAGGCTTACTTATTTGAAAGGCAGAATTACAGAGAGGAAAAGACAGAGAGCTCTCTCTTCCATCTGCCTGGTCACTCCCCAGACGGCTGCAATGGCCAGGGCTGGGCCAGGCGGAAGCCAGGAGCCCGGCGCTCCATCCAGGTCTCCCGGTGGTGCAGGGCCCAGGCTGCTTTCCCGAGAGCACCAGCAGGGGCTGGATTGGAAGTGGGGCGCTTGTTCCTAATTCCACCTTCCTAATTCCACGTGTCTGGCGGCCCCTCCTGAAAGCCTTCAAGTGCGAGTCGTGGGCTCTTTTTCTGTGGTGCTGCCGGCTTCTTGCTGAGTTGGAGGAGTTCGTCGCACATCCTGGAGACCAGGCCTCTGTCGGTTAGGTCTGTTCTCACGTGCGTGGTAGTGATGGTCTGTGAAATTCTTGTGGTCCCCAAATTGGCAAATGCTGAGAAACACAGCGTCACCTGCCCACGGGCCTCCGGCCACGCATCCTCATCAACCCAGGAGGCGTTTGGCTATGCCAGTGTCCGCATCAGCCAAGCCAAGCCAGGCCAGCTTCCACGTCGCCTTTGTCTTGTACAAAACTCAGCAGGTTGGCCTGCACCACGGCTCACTAGGCTAATCCTCCGCCTGCGGCGCCGGCACACCGGGTTCTAGTCCCAGTAGGGGCACTGGATTCTGTCCCGGCTGCCCCTCTTCCAGGCCAGCTCTCTGCTGTGGCCCAGGAGTGCAGTGGAGAATGGCCCAAGTGCTTGGGCCCTGCACCCACATGCACCAGTAGGAAGCACCTGGCTCCTGGCTTCGGATCGGCGCAGCCCACCAGCCGTAGCAGCCATTGTGGGGTGAACCAACGGAAAAACGAAGACCTTTCTCTCTGTCTCTCTCTCTCACTAACTCTGCCTGTCAAAAAATAAAATTAAAAATAAAATAAATTTTTAAAAAAACTAGCAAGTGCTTTTACGATTCTTCCAAAGCCTCCCGCCTGTAGAACCTGCCTCACCTGGGAGTTTGGTTTTGGTGCCACCTGGCACTTGAGGTGTGCCAGTGGCCGGCACAGGACAAGGGAGCCAACGCCCCCACCCCGAGCAACGCGGCTGGAATGGTTTTGCTTTCAGACTGCACCTCTGCTGTCCACCACAGGTATCAAATCGGTTGCCACTGATTTCATGAACCCACAAGTCCAGCTGCACTTCCGCCCGTCCCGAGCTCCACCACACACTCTTCGGAGGGCGTTTTGTGCCTTCCAGAAGGGCGTGGCGCACAGATCGTTCTCCTTCCCCTGTGCGGTTCCGAGTCGGCAGCACTGAACTCGAGTGGTTCCCCCGCGAGGCGCATCACCGCTTCTGCGCTCCGGGGCCCCGAGACAGCACTTCTGGGGACCGTCTTAACCAGCAAAATCTCCCACAGCAAGCACAAAAATGCAAAAACAAGTCACGAAGGACAGCGACGAGGCACAGAGGGGGGTGTCCCGGCTCACCCCGCAGCCCGGCTCAGCCCCAGGAGCACAAGCTCAACTCCCGCCCTGCTCCGTGCGTATCCCCAAGGGGCCCCAGAAGGACCCTGAGCATCGGAGCAGGGGTCGCGAGGCAGCGACGTGGTGAATACAGGACTGCACACGGTGAGGCCGCACCGCGCTGGTGCCAGTGGCCTGCCCTCGGAGGAGCGTCTTCTGCCCCACACCGGTGCTGCATTTTCCCATTGTTGGATGCCTTCAGGTTGTGGGTGGTTTGTGCACAGAGGTTTCCAAGCCCTACTTCAAGGCACAGAACACTCTCCGCCCCCCACCAAAAGCTTTACCGGTTCTCCCTGCACAGGGGACCGGCATCCCCTCGGGAAGGCAGCTCTGCAGGTGCCAGGGGATGTCTGTGTGGATCACCCAGCAAAATCTGAAAAGGGACGGGTGCTGTGGCATAGCGGGTAAAGCCGCCGGCTGCAGTGCCGTCATCCCATATGGGCACCGGTTCAAGACCCAGCTGCTCCACTTCCAATCCAGCTCTCTGCTATGACCTGGGAAAGCAGTGGAAGATGGCCCAAGTCCTTGGGCCCCTGCATCCACGTGGGAGACCGGGAAGAAGCTCCTGGCTCCTGACTTCAGTCTGGCCCAGCTCTAGTCATTATGGCCATTTGGGGCATGAACCAGCAGGTGGTAGACCTCTCTCTCTCCCTCTCTTTCTCTCTATCTGTAATTCTGCCTCTCAAGTAAATAAGTAAATCTTTAAAAAGTTTTAAAGTCTTCTAAAAGAACGTCTTTTCCTCTTGATGACCCACGTTTGCCGCCCATCAGCTGACCCGGTATTGAAGAGTCTGTGGTCGGACTATTTCCATCCTGCTTCCTCTGGGTGTCTGGTTATTTTTGATCCTTTGGATTTCCACGTAAAGTTGAGATTCTGTTATTTTCCATTAAAAAGTAACCGCTGGTGATTTGGTCGGGGTTGCAGGGGATGGACGGACTGCTCGGGGGCATTGACACTGAGCTCCGGCGTGCGGGCATGGAACGTCCCTCGAGGGTGCGCGTCTCGTTCGGTCTCGTGATGTGTGCCTTGTCCTGTGCGGAGTTCTCGCAGCTCTCTCTTAGACTTCTCCCCTCTCTGTCTCTGCTTCCCACTGCTCGGAGGTCTACTCCATCTGCGATTGATACAGTAGCCACTCCTGCTGTCGGTCTTGAGCAGGGTCAAGGGCGAGCCTGTTGCCATCTCCCACTTCAGCCCCACCTACGTTGTCGTGTTGGAACAGCGCAGGGTGCTGTCTGCACGCTGCTCACTCTGCCGCCGGCTCTCACTGGTGCGTTTAGACAAAGTCACCCTGGGGGGTCGGAGCGACGTCTGCTGATCACTCAAGCCTGCGCGATCCCTGCTTCTCCTTCTTACCCGTCCCTGGTCCTGCTCCTGCGGGCCGCCCGGACGTGCGCAGACGCCAGGTTCTTTTCACAGTGTTTCTTTCTCGGTGTTTGCTGTGTGTCACAGGAGCACGCAACGTACCGCGACACGCTCTCACTGCCGTCTTAGCAATTTGAGAGAACTGAGCCTGTCACCTGCCCCTACAGAGCATGAGAGTGATTCAAAAATTTGATGAAAATTTAGTTAAAAGATGCATTTATT